CGGGTAATTGGTCTTTAGACCTTCCTTTAGCATGCCTTTGTTACGGAGTGCGATTATCTGCCTTAGTTTGGGAGCAGTTTTGCCGCAAAGTTGATCAAAACGGTCACAAATGTATGAAAAATCGTGTTTTGATCAACTTTGTGGCAAAACTACTCCCAAACTAAGGCAGATAATCGCACTCCGTAACAAAGGCATGCTAAAGGAAGGTCTAAAGACCAATTGCCCGTTGACGGAGGACGATTTACCGCCTCGGATCAGACGCAGTAAATGCTTAAAGTCGGCCCAAAACACGATTTTTCAGACATTTGTGACCGTTTTGATCAACTTTGCGGCAATACTGCTCCCAAACTAAGGCAGATAATCGCACTCCGTAACAAAGGCATGCTAAAGGAGGGGTCGCGTGGGGTCGCGAAATTTTTCCTGGGGGTCGCGGAAAGTTTTGGCCACAAATTTGGGGTCGCGAACCGAAAAAGGTTGGGAACCGCTGCTTTATACCGACGCATGATGGGCTGTAAAAAAGACGGAAAAGGGAGGGGGTGCAATTGTTCCGCGGTGCTGGTGGTGGTGAAGCAGGCCGCCACCTGGGCCGACCGACCGCCACTTTCGACGACACTTGTCGCGCCTCGCGGCTGAATCACTTCCGCGCCGCGCAGCCCAGCGCAGCCTGGACGTCGCCGCGGTGCGCACCGCCCGCACCGACACTTGGAGTGTAGGCACGTGCGTGCGTGCGCGTCGGCGTGCCGCGCCGGCCCGCCAAGGGCGCGCGATTGCCGCCGTCTTTCTTTTCGATAATCGCGTCTGGCTGGCTTGTCCCGAAATAGATAGGACGAGTGGTTGCATCGGAGAAACGCACGCGGCCGCCGCTTGGCGGAAGTTGGCGCGCCGCGACGTTCTTTTCGCAGTGGGTGGGTTAGCGCGGCGGCGGCGCGCGTGCGGACCGCAGCGTAGAGCGTGCCCGGCGCTCGGTCGCTTTTGATACAGCTCCACTAGACAGCGCTAGACGGACCGACGATGAGGCACGGACGGCGCGCACACACTCTCACACACTCGCGTCGCGGCGCGCCCCGTCGGGGGAGGGAGGGGGAGGGAAAGGCGGGGCTAGATAGCGAAAACCGCGCAGACAAGAGAGGTGTGATTAGAAAATGAGTTTGAAGGCTATGGCGGGCCGGGCGATTTGGGGTCGAGTGCCGGCACAGGTGACTTGCGTTTTGCGGCGGATTTGGGTAGTCCGCAGATAACGAACAGAGGTATAGCCAAACTGAAGTCTGCACAATGCAAGTGTTTTAACGTTTTTAAGCATTTTTTATGTTTTTATTAAACTAAGATTTTTTTTTCAAAATGTTAGTGAATCCCGCTAGTTAAGAGTACCCGACACTTGCAGCGGTCTGTGAAACGGGTTCGCCGCCGTGAATGCGATAAATTTGCGACTCGTCCTCCTGCCGCGGGTCGATGGCCGAGGACTGCCGGTGGGACAGGACTGCTGGCAGTGTGCTGGCAGCTCATGCTCTGTGGACAGATGCGCCGGGAAGGCAAGGCGGGCCCGCGCGAGGAAAGGGGAGCACGTAGCACGAAGGGCCCCGGCTTGCTCTGCGCCGCTCTGCGCGGACCGGCTCGGCCAACCTGCCGGCGACCCCGTGCTTCTGTGGCGATGCGCGGCCGCGGCGGGGCGTGGTGCGGCGGGGCGGGGCGGGGCGGGGCGGGGCGGCGGGGCCCTCGCGATGAAGCGTCGTGCAGGCCGCCGCGGCGGCGCAGGGCAGCGTATCAGTCGTCTTCTCGCGAGCACGCCGCCGGGTGCTGCCTGTCTTGCTGCTTGCTGTCTGTCTTGGTGGTCGTCGCGCAACTCTCGTCCTGGCCGTCGCCTCTGCCGCGCCGCTGCGCCGCCCTAGCCCGCCCCGCCGGGACTTGTCGAAGACCAGTACTGGACGCACGGGAGTCGTTGCCGGCCGCTTGGCGGTGTAGGGCCTAGTGACTGACGGCCTAGTGGACGACGTGGAGCTCCCGAAGACCGACCGGCTGACGGGCGCCGACGGCATGGCGAGCCACAAGTTGGTGCCGGCCGCCCCAGACGCCCTCTAGAGACGGCGGCGCACTACGCGTAGTTTGACTTGGCGCGTGCCCAGCGCTGCCCAGCACCCCCAGTCCCCAGGTGAGCCGAGCAGAACACTTCCAGCTGATGGATCCCGAGGATCACCGTCTGTCTCTCTCGCACCCGGGCCCCGCTGTCTTGGCAGCCGCCCCCTTGTTTGCAGTGGCGTGGCGGGGGGCTCGGTAACTTTTTCATGGAGCCTCCAGGCTGCCGGTGGCCTGATGCATGCCCCCGGGTGGCGGGTAATCGGGGTAATAGCGTTTGTCGTGGAGCCGGTCCGGGTTTTGGTTTGCCTTCCGCGCCACTGGGAGAAAGGTCTTATTTTTGCGGGCCGGCCGCCGTTTGGTTTGCGGAGAGAGACGGAGCAGTCCTCGCCGCGGGCGAGACGAACGACGTATTGGGACTGTGCCTTCTTTACCTCCGCCTGTCGCAAACCGTCTCCGCGGATGCCATAGGGAGTCGCTCGGGGAGGGTGGAGTAATTGTAGCGAAGGGCGGAGGGGGCTGGCTGGCGGCCTGACGGGGTTTCATCCTCCAAAGAAAGTTGGCGGCGCGCTGTCTGAAATTTTGTTTGTCAAACTATGCGCCTGACGGCCCGACGGCCGGGCGGATGGCTCGGCGGATGCAGAGCTTAGGCCCGCTTGCCGCCGCTTGCCTCCGCACAGTGGGCCAGAAGACCGGTGGAGGCGGCCAAAACTCGAGACGCGTTTTGAGCTCCAGAGTCGCTAAATGGGACCCGAAGCGAACGTGTGACCCCACCAATGGATTGCTCTCCGAACGAGGAATCCATTGGTGGGGTCACACGTTCCGTTCGAGTCCCATTTAGCGACTCTGGAGCTCTCAGCGCGTCTGGAGTCTTGGCCGCCTCCACCGGTCTTCTGGCCCACTGTGCGCCGCTTGCCGCGCTTGCCGCCGCGTCGCTTTTTTGGCGGAAGGAAGCCTGCTCTAAGGCCAAGGGCGAACGGCGGGGAAGGGGGAGGGGGCGCCTTTTTGCCTGCACCTTGAGCGGGGGCAGTGTCGCGTCCTCGGCCTACCTCACAGGCGCCGTGCGGTTTTTGTTGCGGAGAGAGAGAGAGAGAGAGAGGGGGGGAGAGAATTAAGGAGAGGGAGCCCCGGTCCCACTCCCCCTCTCGGCCTCTGCTTAAACCCGCGCCGAAGGGCCAGACCGGATTGTTAATTCATTGAATAAACTACTTTCCGCGAGCCGCCCCCCGGCAGGCCGATTCCGGAGCACGCCGCTCTGTCTCTCTCGCACTCGTGGGGCGTCGCCGCGTGGCGCTGGGGCGCGAGAGAGACAGCAGCTAACGACGTGCCGCTGTCGTTGGAATGCCCCGTGCTGCACTAACGAGGCGCCGACCACCCGCGCCGCCCGCGCACTGCACTAGAAATTCAGCGTTTAGCTTTTTTTGTTGCATTTTTCCCCTTCCTCCACGGTTGGTGATATGAATTTTCCCCGACTTGGAGACCGAAGTGAAAGATGCGCCTCTCTGATAAGAGTGTACGAGGCACTTGCCCTGTAATACGAAGAAAATTGGCTGGGGCGAAGGAGCGCCCCCCCCTCCTTTTCCAGGCCATGGGGGACAGGCATGCGCTGGTCTCCGGTGCAAACAGATTACGGGATCGCGTCCAATACCTCGAGTCTTGAGGTTTTAGTTTCTGCTTTATTTTTAACCTGATCCGGGGCAATTTTACGGACCGGCATTTCGAGTGCGGCGAGCGAGTGCGTGTTAATAGGCCAAGTGATACAAGTGTAACGTTAGTACCTGCTGCTGGTCCTCGCGTCGCCCCGCGGCCAACGGGTTCCAGGCAACGTGCCAGGCGCTGTCGCAGGGGGGACGCCCTCGACCTGCGAGGTAGGCAAAAAGACACACGTTGTCAACAGGCGATTATGCAGGTCCCGCAAACCGGACGGCTGCAGCCTGATTCCGGTAACCAGTTGCTTCGCTCCGTCCCACTCGCACTGGCTGGGCGCTCCCTCTGGGTGCGAGAGAGACAGAGAGACGCGACTGGTTTTAGGAGTACTGTCGTCGGATCCGCCACGCCACTGCCGAGCGACGCGTCTTTGACTGGGGGTCGTGAACTAGTGAACAGCTCTGCCGGAGCGCGGCCCCGTCCGCTGGAGGCTGGCTGGAGGCTGAAAGCCAATTCGTGTTTGCTTGCCACTCGGCGCGACGTCTGTGACGGCTCGGAGCACAGTCCGCGCGTCGACGCGCATTCGCTGTTTCGTTTTGTTTTGCTGGAATTTTGGCGCCGACACGGCCGGGGCGGTCCACTACTAGTGTGACGCGGCCCGGCCGTCGACGCCGCCTCTCGGAAGCGCCTAATTGTTCCAGCGAGTGCACCGACAGTGCACCGGCAGAGACGCGTCTGGCGCGCCGGGCTGCTTTTGTTTTTGCTGTTTTTGATTTGGCTGGCGGTGCGGTGCGGTTGCGCGCCGGGGAGATGATGATCAAGTGTCTGGTCGTAGTCGTTGTTTTACCTTCCGTCTCGAGTACCTGCAGTGTACGCCCCCCCCTCAAATGAGATTTGCTTTCCTGGCGAGTCCAATCGGCCCTTCGTCTGGAATGGCGGCGAGACTGGCTAGTAATACATAACTTTCGTTTACTTCAGACAATACCATCGAGAAAATGACCGCATTTTCAGCAAAGTTTTCATACTTATTGCATGGGAGTGACAGCTGTCTTCAACTCGATTGACCACATTAGTCTTGAACTTGTCACCAAACGACAGCCAAAATGTTAACAGTGTTGTTGGCGGGGGCGCCGACCCGGACTCAGCAGGGGATGGAGCCGGGCAAATTAAATGAGGGCGCGCTAGTCCTCGGCCGAGTCCTCGGAACGCTCTTGGCGGCCTCGTCAATGCGACGGTGATTACGACGCGTGTTTCATTTTTTGGTGCTTCTTCCGCTGTTCCAGATTTGACTCCCTCCTCGTCACCATGAGCCTGACCCAGACCACCACGACGCGCGTGGAGGCCCTGCAGCACCGCCTGCAGCCCGCCACGCCCGCGCCCGGCCTCCAGGGCCTCCAGGGCCTGCAGGGCGTGCAGCAGGTGCGGTTCCGCGCGGCGGCCTCCGCCAGCATGCCCGCCGCCGCCATGACCGCCTCCACCGCCAACACATCGGTCCCCACGCTGACCCGGCGGTTCTCCTTCGTCTGGCCGTTCATATCAAAAGGTAAGGACGCGCAGTGCTGTGGCGGTGGGTGCGGGGAGGGCACTCGTTCCTGGAGGTGGCGGTGCAGACCCTCGTCGCGGCGAGTCCGTCTCATATCGTGGTCTCGCTGGAAGTGGTGCAAGATTGCGCTGGACAAGCACCGTGCGAATTCCGCGAGCGTTCCCTGTCCGGGGCGGGGCGGGGCGGGGCGGGGCGGGGCGGGGCGGGGCGGGGCGGGGCGGGGCGGGCGCCGGTAATGGCTGCGATGACGGTACGACATTCCGACTCTGTCCCCCTCATGCCTCCAGCGGCAGGGCCAGGGCCAGTGGCCAGGGTGACGTGCTGGTGCATCCTGGCGTCGATGAGGACCAGGCCGTCTCTCGTCATCAGCCGCGCGCGCTTTGCCGCACTGCGCGTCGACGACCTGCATGTGGGAGCGGCGGACCAACTGGATCCACTGGAGCGACTGGAGCGACTGGAGCCACGAGCCAATTACTAATGTGACTCTCGAGTTCCACGAATTTTCGAGACGTGGCGCGCTCTCACACACACATACATACATACCCACGCACTTGAATCTTGCGTCTGTGTGTGTGTTGTCATGACGGGGATGCGCCAGCCGTGGCCCCAAATGCATGCAATGCTTCCCCGTCTGCATATCTCTCTCTCTGCCCCCCCCCCCTCTCTCTCTCTGTCGCTCTCTTTGGAATCCTGATATGCTGCTCTAATTGCCGTGAAACGCGGGAGGGAAGGGGGAAAGGGGGTACCTGTGCGCGTCCCTCATTTGGAATGGCACGCCGCGCCGCCCGCTCGCATTGAATCGTTTACACACACACACACACGAGTGCGCTCACTCAAACACACGTTCATACATACACATACACACGCACGCACGTCTCTTTCTTTCGCTAGTTTTTATCTCTGTTGTGCGGCACTCGCGGTACCAATACCTGAGCGGTGCCGACACCGCCGCGAGGCCTGCCTGCGCTCGTGGTTGTCGCTCTGTCTCTCTCGCACTCGCGGGGCTCTCCGCCCAGGTGCGAGAGAGACGGCGACAACAAGGCGGTTCGGGATGAGCCCGCGGGTGAGGCACGGCGCTGGCACGCCTGGTCCACGCGGCCGCCTGCTGGGCCGGGCCCCGCTTGCCGGCGCAGGCTCGTTCCCCCATCTCTCTCGCACTCGCGGGGCTTGGCGTCGAGGCCGGCCCTGCCGCCCGGTTTGTCTGACCCTGGTGCTTATCCCGTCAATTCGTCCATTCATCCGGGCCTGGTGCAAGCCTCGGCTCGGCCCGCGGCCCCCGCGGCCCCACGTTATCGTGTCGTATTGAGTGTGCCCTTCCAACCGGCGCAAGGCTCGGCGAGGGGGGCAGCCCCCACCCTTCCTCTTTGGATTGGAAATTCAATTTGATGAGTGCGCGGGCCAGCAGCTTGCCCGCAGGCTGGTCAGACCGACCTGCCCCGCTGGACACGGCGAGACTCTGTGTGCGCGGCCATGGCTGGAACCGCCCCTGGGTGTGTCTGTCTACCTCGTCCGGGTGCGAAAGTGCGAAGGCTTGACTGCCAGCAGTCGGACAGTGCTTTCGTCGCCCCACTGTTGGGGCCTCGATGTGGACACCGAGCTGGCCAGGGCGACGTCACCGTCTTTTTATTCAAACCGCCATATCGGCGACATGGTTCACAGAATCCATTCCCTCCTACACCATCAAACCGTCACCAGGATAAAAAAAGGGCTCACCAAAAAAAACCAACCTCGCGCGCGTTGAGTAATCTGAATAATGTGTGTGGAGCTTTTGATAGGCCTGTCCGCCACGCCGGCTTGCCAGGCTTGCCACGACACTGATAGGCAAGCGAATGGGGGCATCGAACGTGAACGGCATCGTGTGTCTGCTCTCGATTTAGATACGCTTGGCGTTATCACGCTGATTTGGCACGCGCCAAGCGCGTGGTGCATATCCAGGTGGCCACACCATAAAGATACCCCGCCGTCTTGGCGCGCGGCGTAGTCCACCTCCCTGGGTCAGGGGTTTGAATGTTACAGTGGCGCATCCAGAGGAAGCCACTTGGGGGCAAAAAATATTTTCACTTTGTTCAACCTTTTGGAACAGTTGCATAGTTTGTGAGCGAGGAACATGCTAGACGAGACTGAGAGTGGGCGGGACGGCTGGCCTGCGTGTGTGTTGGTGTGTGTGAGTGGCAGTGACAGTGGACCCGGGCCACGCGCTGACCGAGGCGACCAAGGCTCTGCCGGTGGCGTGGCGTGGCGGCGTCCAGCGTGGTCCAGGCGACGCGAAGGGTCTGGAAGGCGCGGCGCGGCGCGGCGTGGCGTGGCGTGGCGGCGTCCAGCGTGGTCCAGGCGACGCGAAGGGTCTGGAAGGCGCGGCGTGGCGTGGCGGCGTCCAGCGTGGTCCAGGCGACGCGAAGGGTCTGGAAGGCGCGGCGGCGACAGATTTGCGCAGCAGGGCGTCTCCTGTCTGGCCGGCCCGCCGCTTGATTTGGGGCTTATCACGAGGGCCAGGCCTGCCAGGGCTGCCCAAGGGCCTGGCCACGCTGCCGCCCGGCCGCCACCCGGCAGAAGCTTCCAGTCGTCATTTGGCGTGACTGTGATTCATTCATTCAATCCCCGCTTCATTGCCGGGCCGAGATAGCCGCCAGGCTGCGCAGTGCTTTTGCCGCTGTCTCTCTCGCACTCGTGGCGTCCCGTACAGACGAGAGAGAGAGAGAGGGAGAGAGACAGCGCGCGGCGCGGGAGCTGAATTTATTCTGAATTTATTCCGACCATGTCCTGCAGGGCTGCTCCTCCAGAACTTGTGGAAGTTGCTTGTTGAACTGAATCCGCGAGGCGCGGCATGGCGAGGCATGGCGAGGCATGGCGCGCCAGGGCACCCCCGCGTGGTGGAGGCCCGAGGCCGGAGGGGGCTGGGCTGGAAGTCTGTAAGGGGCGGGCCCAGGCCGCAGCCGCCCCGCCCCGCCCCGCCCAGGCCCGGGCGCGTCGTCACAAACCCTCCAGAGCCCAGCACGGAAGGGCCGTAAGCCTAGGGGAGGGGGGCAGTGTGTGTGTTGTGTGCGGATGACGGCTTCATGGTGTGTGTGTGTGTGCGTGAGGGCGCTGAATGCAGTGACACAATGCCTGGCAGTGCCTGCTGAATGCATTGCAGGTCCCCTGCTGCAGACTGATTCCGCGTCGCGCACCATTTCGTCGCTCTGTCTCCGTCCCACCAGTGCGCGCCGCGCTATGCGAGCGAGAGAGACGGAGCGACGAAAGCCGTGTTTGGAATCGCTCTGCCGGTCCGCCCCGTCCGCTCGGTCCGCCCGGTGCACTTGGGTCTCGTTGGGGCGCCGCGCTGTCAACCCGCGGACGGTTCGGCTCGGCTCTCCATTCCCCTCCCCCTCCCCCTTCCTGTCCCGCGCGCTGCCGGCGCTGCCAGTGGGGCGGTACTCAAACGATCAGGCTGCAGGAGTAGCAGCAATTGCAGGGGAAAGGGGCCGAACGGCCCGAAGGGGGCAGTCGAGCCTTTACGCCTCCATTGAAGCCGAAAGCGCTTTGAAGATCGTCGGGGAAGTGGTGGGGCTCGGTGGCGGTGGCGCGCGCCCACTGCGCTACGCTTGCTACGCGCTCCGCCGTGACGTTGCACAGTGGGCCAGAAGACCGGTGGAGGCGGACAAAACTCCAGACGCGTTTTGAGCTCCAGAGTCGCTTAATAGGCCTCGAAACGAACGTGTGACCCCACCAATGGATTCCTCGTTCGGAGAGCAATCCATGGGTGGGGTCACACGTTCGGTTCGAGTTCCATTTAGCGTCGCTGGAGCTCGAAACCTGTCTAGAGTTTTGTCCGCCTCCGCCGGTCTTCTGGCCCACTGTGCGCCGTGACGTTGCCGACGACGGTCCTGACGACGGCCTCCTTGATGTTGCAGAGAACGCGGCCGGCGCGGAGCCCTTCCTCAAGTCGCGCTGCTCGCAACTGCTGCGCCAGTTCCCCGCCTTCCTCTGCGCCCGCCAGAACGAGAGCACCCGGACCGTGCGCGACCTGATCTCAAGGTGAGTAGCCAATTTTTCGTGTGGAAAATGGTGACGAAAGGTTTGAATTTTTTGGTCCCGAGCGGCACTGTGAAGTCGTGGAAAATGCATCAGAGAAACTTGTGGAACCCTGGTGCGTCCAGCTCGCCTCCAGCGCTCCCGCGAGTCCTCGTCCCCGAAGCGGCGAAGCTCGGCGAAGTCACAGGGCTGCTGCCACCCCCTCGGCCACGTCACTGCCTGTCTTTCGAGGGCTGTCGGTTTTGAGCTGGGTCGACGCGCGTCGTCGTGGACGTCCTGCCGACTGAGAGTCGGTTTCGTCGCTCTGTCTCTCTCGCACTCGCAGGTCGTCGCTCATAGGTGCGGGCGAGACGGAGCGACGCAATCGGCTCTCGGCATGGCAGTGCCGGGCGGACGTCCCGACAGCGATTACGTGGTGATCGGGCAGTGATGAGCCCCGTCCCGTTGCCCGTCCGGTGTCGGCCGGTCCGGGAGGTCCGTGCTGCATCCTGCAGGGCGTCCTGCAGGGCGGAAGGGTGGCCCCCGCAAAGTTTGCCGCTGGGACGGGCCGGGACGGTCCTCTGCCTCGCTTCCTTGCGGGCTGCTTTCGAACGGTGCCTTTGTCGCTCTCTCTCGCACTCAGGGGGCGTCGCGCGGCAGCGCCATGGGTGCGAGGGAGAGAGGAGAAGCGCCCTCCGTTGGGAAGCGGCCTGGTGCCGCGCCGCCTAATCCCTAAAAGTTGGCCGGTGTTTCCAAACAATGTAATGCCTTGTTGGCCCAGTGGGCCGCGCTGCCTGCCTTGCCTTGCCTGCTCGCTGGGGCCGTGGTATTGTGAGGCGCTTATCAATATTGGGCCTTAGCGCGCCTCGCGGTCCTCGCGGTCCTCGCGGTGGTGGCGGTTCGGAGGCAGCCTCCCCGTGGAGCGCCAGGGCCACGGCCAGGGCCACGGCCAGGGTCGCCGTGCCGTGCCATCGCCGCGCCGCCCGCGATGCACTTTGGCCAGACACGAGCTGCAGACTGATGTCTCTCTCGTACGGGACGCCCCATGAGTGCGAGGGGGACAGAGCGACGCAAACGACTCTTGGAATCAGTCAGCTGGCCGGGCCAGACGAAAGTCCGGAGGGCTGGCCTCTTAACGGTCGTGGTCTGTTCTTGCGGCTTAATCTGCCCCACTAGTGGTGGAAAGATGAACAAAGTCTGAAAGGCTGGTCCTTAACGCCCCGGCTCTAGTCCGCACTTCAAGCCTAATCTGCTCTGCTGTGGCGGAAAAGAAATGAACAAAGTTCGACCACGGGCGATGCAAGGCATTTAGTGAATAAAAGTCACGTGAGCTCATTAATTTTTACTACTGGACTCGACCCCTTTCCCTGTAGACGTTGCATCCCAAAATTGTTTTTTTGTGTGTGTGTCTAGTGCTGTTGTACTGACTCTTTGGCGGTGTTGTTGCAGGGTGTTGACGCAGCTCAAGGCCGTCTGGCTGGTGCTGGCCGTGTACATGTCCCTGGTGGTGCTGCTGTGCCTCGCCTCCTCCGTGCTCTACACCCTGGTGCTGGCGCCCAAGCCGCTGGGCCTGGTGTTCCTGGTGGGGTGCGTGGCGGCCACCGGCGCCATCGCGGCCGTGTCGTTCAACGCCAAGGAGCGCGCGCGGCCGCAGCAGCAGGCAGTGCGGCCCGCGCAGCCCGAGCTGGCCGTCCCCGCCGTGACGCTGCAGGTGCCCAAGCTGATCCTCACCTAGGAGTGCCGCCACACTGCGCGAGCTGGTCCGGCGGGTAGGGCGCCCTCCCGGTGGTCGGTTCGTCGCGGCGCCGCCTGGCTGTCCTTCGAGTGCGTGTTGGAGCCGCGCAGGACCGACCAGCGGCAGACAGACAGACAGTGGAGTCCCAGGCTCTTTTGACTTCGAGGGCCCGCCTCCTGCCTGGACCTCAGCGCCGCGGACTTTTCTCGTTAATTAAGATTTCATCCTATTAAGTTAGGTTTACGAATTATGTATCAGGGTACGTTTTAAGTTGCTTGTGGGCCATATTGTTCTGACGTGAGTGAAATGTGAGGAAAAGAAGCTTTTTTGTTGTATTTTTTTTGTCAGACCTGTTTTGACTGTTTTAGGGCTCTTACATATGTTTTGGACGTGTTCCTAAACTCTTATATTCACATTATTTTTAGCAACGTTAGCACTTCTGTTATATTGTACGTGTTTGCACTGATTAGATGTAGTGTTGCATTTGACAGGCGTGCAGAAGACGCGTGAATTTTTGTAGGTCAAATGCGAAGATGGTGATGAACAAATGTCATAGTAGCACTGGCTCTGAGCGCATATCAAAATTCATGTTCATAACGCTGTGATGGTTGTACCTAGGGCATTTTCTTAGTGGCATGGACACATTTTAAGAAGGGCAATAATAAATTAAGATTAATCATATTTTTAAAATAATTTTGTTTAGTATTCATGAATGTTTTGTCGGATGTTTATGTTAGGACTAAGCTTTTCTTGTAACCCCGAAATTTTTTTCAATGGTGTAGGGTAGATTTTTGGAGACTTTGTCCATTGCTGATGTGATTTTACTAACCGACCAATTTGTATCCAGTGCCAATCATGTTTGAAGTGGATTGTTTGACAACCATGGCAACCATACCCATCGAAGTATGACTGATTTTTTTTTCTCTCCATTGTGAACTATTTTATGCAGTTTTGTAGAGCCCATGTCATCTGCCACTCAGTATGCCTTTTTGTTATTTGTTTTTCTGTTTAATGTAATAATCCTGTTTCTTAATTTTTGAAATATTTATGAATTTGTTAACATTCAAATCAGAAGCACACTCAGGACCGATCTCCGGATTGTCTGTTTCCTACCTTGCTTCCACACTTAATCGTCCTTTTGGAGGCTCTGGTCTGATTGTATTGCCCTTTTTCTTGACTTTTAGTATTGTGATTGCTCAAAATAATGACTGACGACGCGACCCGAGGGCCGCAGCCATAGTGTATTGTATTGCACACTCCTGATATTCTAGTGACTGAATAAACATTATTATTTAACAAAAACTTACTTTGGATATTTTCTTTTCGGGCACTCGATGAAACATCGAATCGGCCGGAACTGGTTAAAACAAGTTTGACTCATTGTAATCAATGAGTCAAGTATCTTCATCCACATTCCTTCTTCGTGACACGACAACGCTGCAAGCGGCAAGGAGTGCTGCGCTGCGGAGTTGGCCTGCAAGCTGATGATGCCGAACAGTACTTTGGTCGCTCTGCCTCTCTCGCTCCCATGGGGCGTGCCGTAGGGGTGCGAGAGAGGCATAGCGAACGACTAACGCATTGTTCGGTATCGGACGCGATCAGGCGACTGGCGTATCGGCCGCGCGACGCGTCCCGGTGCTGATTCCGCGTTCCGCACTCGAATCTGTCTGGGACAGGCGCCAAGTGTTTGTGCAAAATCTGCATCGCACTTCGCTGAAATGATAAGAACCAGTCTGAAAAAAATGAAGACTCCGTCAAAAACAAGAAATGGAAACCACACCACGTGTTTGCACATCGCACACATGCGAGACACACCACAACTCGAGTTAATTAAAATGCAGGAAACACAGACAAGCGAAACCTGAACGAAGAATCGGAAACGCTGAACCGAACTCGGAGGGAATGTGGCTGTGCCGAACCAAGAACCAACACGATGAATGAGGACCGTCGGCTGCTGCATGGCAACACGCGATTGCAAGCTACTTTCGCCCCCCCCCCCCCCCCCCCCTCTGTCTCTCTCAAGCGCACGCCGTGCTGCTCTGACAGATAGCTCTGGCGTGTCACCGGCGTGGCATCTCTATACGGCACTCGATTGCGGCCGTGAGGGGAAAGGGGGGGGGGACGCCTAGGTGGCCTAACGCCCAAAACCGTAATTTAATCCGTTTGGCGGAAAAGTGTAACATCCTCTTCTTCAAATCGGTGCTCCCTGGGTGCGACCACACCCACGCCACTGCCGCCGCTGGGTTGGCTGGGTTCCGACTGAAGCGGGCGAGGGGAGGGGAGGGGAGGGGCGAGGGGAGTCGGGGAGTCGGCGGGGCTGGGGGTAAGGCGGGTGGGACATCGTTGTTTGGAATAATCGCCTGCGCGCTTAACAACAGCGGACTAGGTTCCGCGGAGCGCGACGCCGCAAGGGCGGGTGCCTGGCGCTCTGCACTGTAAAAAATTCCGTACTTTTGTGCGGACTTGCCCTTGACTTGAATTCGTGTCGAATCTGTGCAAAACTGTCACCGGGACACGTTATTATCAAATCAGCCGCTGGTACAGAGAAAGTCACCAGCACGAAAGATGAGTGTCACCGAGTATTCCCAGCGCGATGAAATCACGCCGGTTGGCGATGGGCCGACGTTCGTGATGCAATCGAGCGGGCTTTTTCTTGCCCTCGATAACAGTGTAGTGTATGTGTGAAGAAATGGGGCGAGCGCACCTAGCCTCGCGAGCAGCCGGAGTGGGGCGTCGGGGCGTCGTCAGTGGGTTGATTACGAGGAATCACGGATGCGATCATCAGCCGCTGCTTCTAGCCGCTCAAGCGAAGCGCCAGCAAGCCCCACTCTCGGCTCCACACTGCAAGGGGCGGAAGGGGGCACACACGGCACGGCGCGAACACCGCAAAACTCAGTAGTTATGCATTTCTGCCCGGCCGGCGGCCGGGTTGCATCCATAACGACCTGGGGCGGGGCGGGGCGCCCGGCCGGTCCGGGGGAAAGGTGGAGGTTGGTTGGGAAAGGAGTGGAGGAGGAGGGGGTGAGGATGGGTGACTGACTGCATGACCCCTCGACACCCACTGGACGGACGCTGGGAGGCAGGCCTACGTGAGTCCCCCACGCTGACGCGCGCGACACTGTGTGTACATTTCACATTTCAGCGGTTGCTGCGGCGCGCTGCGTTGCTGCGGCGCCCAAATCATCATCGTTCGCGGGAGAGCAGCCCGCAGATTAACTCCAAAAAAGGAGAAAGAGCTGCGGGTTATCGCGACGCGACCGCCGGGACGCGCCGCTAGTTAATGAAAGAAAATCCCTCGTGATGACTGTGTCCGTTTGCACGTTCCCACCGCCAGGGCGCTCCCTGCTCCTCCGTGAAGCACTCTCCGCTGTTTATTTCGAAAAGTAAACGAGTGCTGGATCTCCGGATCGGGTCGGACGAGCCTGGATTGCTGTCGCGCGTCGCTCTGCTCGCCTTTGCATCGCGGCGAGCCGGCTGGTTCCGGAAACAGTGCCTCCGTCTCTCTCACACTCACGGGGCCGCCCCGTAGGGTGCGAGAGAGACAGAGCGACCGTTGGGAATCAGTCTGCCGCTCAGTGCGCGGTGCAACCCCTCACTCCCCTCGCCGTCCAAATTGCTCAATGCTATTACGCGACGCAATGTGCGCTCTCTCCCTCCCTCTCACTCCTCGTTGTACCCCAATGGTGCGCTTCGGCGCTTTTAGGCTTTTCGGCTCGTGATTTTGGCGTCAGGCAGGAGCAAGCGTATCGTGGGCGCTTGTTGCCTTGCTTGCCTTGCTTGCCTCGCTAGCCACCCGACACGACGCTCTGAGTGCTGTATTCCTTGCTCGAGTGTCATGCTGGCCTGCAGACAGGCTCGGACTGGCCAGGGCAGACAGGCAGAAAAATCTGCCGGGGCCTTCGGATTTGTGACCAGTAACGTCACAAAGTTGGTCAAAAAGTGATTGAATGTCCGAAAGTAGCCGTTTTTGCTGAATTTGAGCGGCCACTGTGTCCAATCTAGTTGCCGTAAAAGGCCTCCCTCGACGTCCTAGTATTCTCAAGACCCTACTCTTTCATGCCCTGTGTCGGGAAGACGTTGACCACAACGATTTTGCCTTTGACCGCAACGATTTTGGGACCAAAGTTGGTCAAAAAGTGGTCGAATCTCGGAAATTTGCTGATTTTGTTGACTTTGGGCGGCCACTGTGTCCAATCTAGTTGCCGTAAAAGGCCTCCCTCGACGTCCTAGTATTCTCAAGACCCTACTCTTTCATGCCCTGTGTCGGGAAGACGTTGACCACAACGATTTTGCTTTTGACCGCAACGATTTTGGGACCAAAGTTGGTCAAAAAGTGGACGAATCTCGGAAATTTGCTGATTTTGCTGACTTTGGGCGGCCACTGTGTCCAATCTAGCTGCCGTAAAAGGCCTCCCTCGACGTCTTAGTATTCTCAAGACCCTACTCTTTCATGCCCTGTGTCGGGAAGACGTTGACCACAACGATTTTGCCTTTGACCGCAACGATTTTGGGACCAAAGTTGGTCAAAAAGTGGTCGAATCTCGGAAATTTGCTGATTTTGCTGACTTTGGGCGGCCACTGTGTCCAATCTAGCTGCCGTAAAAGGCCTCCCTCGACGTCTTAGTATTCTCAAGACCCTACTCTTTCATGCCCTGTGTCGGGAAGACGTTGACCACAACGATTTTGCCTTTGACCGCAACGATTTTGGGACCAAAGTTGGTAAAAAAGTGGTCGAATCTCGGAAATTTGCTGATTTTGCTGACTTTGGGCGGCCACTGTGTCCAATCTAGTTGCCGTAAAAGGCCTTCCTCGACGTCCTAGTATTCTCAAGACCCCACTCTTTCATGCCCTGTGTCGGGAAGACGTTGACCACAACGATTTTGCCTTTGACCGCAACGATTTTGGGACCAAAGTTGGTCAACAAGTGGTCGAATCTCGGAAATTTGCTGATTTTGCTGACTTTGGGCGGCCACTGTGTCCAATCTAGTTGCCGTAAAAGGCCTCCCTCGACGCCCTAGAATTCTTAAAACCCTACTCTTTCATGTCCTGTACGGGAAGGCTATTGACCCCTACTAGTTTGGGAGCGGTAGCCTTACAAAGTTGGTCATGTAGGGTAAAAACAATGATGATCGGGGGCCTTTTGCGGTCTTATCCGCCGGGGCCTTTTGGGGGCCAGTCCGAGCCTGCCTGCAGAGCGGAGCGGTAGCCCTTAATGGTAATGGAGCGCCTGCCGGGTAGGCAACTGGACGGTTCGCGGACGCCCGTGCTGAACGGGTGGCCTACCCGGAGGTTCGCGGGCGCTTTCCAGCCGCGTGGGCCGGGCCGGCCGCCTGACTTAGCGATGTTGTTGTGTGCTCTTTTGGGAAACAGACTCGTGCACAATGGTGGAAGAAAAGTACGGAACATGTCTGGTCGTGGTCAATTATTCACCTGGACCGTCGTCACTCGGCCTTGAACGACTTGAACGGCCTCGAACGACTTGCCCTTTTCCGGGGTCGTTTTGCCCGTCCCGGCCTGGCCCTTGGCCTGGCCCCAGTAAAGCGTCCAGTGCGGGTTGACTGCCTTGACGGGGTGGCCGGCCCGCCCCGCGGCCCCGCGGTCCGCATCCATCATGGCACCACTCCGTGCGCCGCAAAGTTTTGATTGAACGCGCCACTCCACACCGCGCGCCGGGCTAATTCCGAACAGTGCCGTCGTCCGCTCTGTCTCTCTCGCACTCGTCAGGCGTCCCGTGCGGGTGCGAGAGAGAGAGAGAGAGGGCGGTGATCTGAATCGACCCGCAGCGCGGTGCCGAATGCCGAATGCAGCAGCCGACTGTGGCGGACCGGAACCGCGGCCGCCATTAATACTTTCGCTGGCTGTGTGGCAACTTTTGGAGGCGGTGTTTTCAACTTTTTCGCGAGCGTGATGCGTCGATGCACTCGGGCCGGGACGAAAAGACACAACCAGGAGCACCATGTCGGTTAATTAACTTCTTTTCAATGTTAACGGTGTGGTTATGGCACGGCACGGGAAAAGGGAGAAAGAGAGCCCGAGCTTCCTGGGACGGGGCGCAGCCAAGCGAAGTCCCCCCGCCCCCCCCCCCCCCCCCCCTTCTCTCTCGCGCGGCCTGGCGCGGCCTGGCGCGGCCTGGCTCCATCGAGGTGAAGAGTCACTCGCCGCAAAAGTGAGCGTCCTGAAGTCCTGAAGAACGCGTCAGCTGAGCCGAGGCGGGGTCGGGCTCTCGGTGGGGCCCTCGGTGGTGCCGGGCCCGGGCGGGGCGGGCGGAGTTTCAGGAGCACGGCGGCGATCACTTTGCCCGAA